AATGCACACACTTACCAACTGCAGCATACAAGCTGCTGCCAAAATGGCAATAACTCGACTTGGCTTTATTAAGACGTCATCTCGATACAGTGAACCAAATGCAACCTGCAGGGCTGAAAGCAAAAGCACTTATGTAGAAGGAAACAGCAATTATAAATATATGGTATAACAAAAATAACAATGACGACTGTCTTCGCACAGAAAGACAACATTTCTCTAAATCCGGTATATGCAAAAAAAAGGTAAGAGAAGTATCACTAACTAAAATGCTAATAATGTTTACTGATTGATGGTGCTAATTTAATAATGTTATACCTTTCTGTGTATTCTACCAAGTCTAGCTGGATTCTTCTGCATCTAATCTCAATATTAGTTAGTGGTCAGAATTAAGATACCCTTGGAAAAAGTTTTATAATGATACCCTTGGAAAAAGTTTTATAATGATACCCTTGAGTAGAGCAATCATTAAACACAAAGACCCAGTGATAATCTTAGCCCTGCTGCTTCACCACTGGGGAGTCTGACATAGCTCTTGGTCTTGTCCACGCCACATGCACTCCAGTGGTGACTCATTGAATACACAGCTCACGTGTTATGTGCCATGAGTAGATTCTGACTCACAGAGACCCTGTATGACAGAATGGAACTGCCCTACAGGTTTGGCTGCTAACCAAAAAGTCAGCAGTTCAAACCAACCAGCCGCTCCTTGGAAACCCTACAGGGCACTTCTACTCTGTCCTATAGGGTGGCTATGAGTCAGAATCGACACAACGGCAACAGGTCATATGGTTTCCCAGGCAGTAATCTTTACAGGAACAGATCATTAGGTCTTTTCTCCCAAGGAACGGTCAGTGGGTTTGAACAACTGACCTTTCAGTTAGCAGCTGAACTCCTTAACTCTCTAACATAGCAGTCCACACAACCCCTACCAATGATCACAGCGGGCAAATGAGATATTTACCATTCCAAACCCAGTGCATCAAATCCAAACTCGTGGTGAAGCCTGTATCACTTCTCTCTGATGTGATCCTCATTACCTGTCTGACTTTAGTGTTCACTGCCCTCTCCCTCTTCGGTAACTGCTATGGTAGCCAATTTCATCTGCCTGTCCCCAACACACTCACCACGTACATTCTACCTCTGCATCTCCAGACTGGCTGAACTCTCCACCTAGAATGACCTCAGGCATTTATGCCCAGCCCTCAGAGCCATCTAAGCCTGTTCGTCCGTCCTTCTCTCTGCTGCCACTCTCATGCATGTTCCACGTGGTTTGCTTAGTAAATATTGTTAAATTTTTTCTTTGCCTATGTGGTGGGTACTAGGCTACCCATGAGAGCAACAGAAGGAGCATTCAAACAGGAAGTAAGAGAGCTACAATCTATTCTAGGCTCACTAAACTGCTCTGAGACCCAAAATAAGTCCCTTAAATCCTCTGGACCTCAACTTCTTTACCTAAACACCCTTATAGCTCTAAAACAACGTGTTTACATGATTCGTACACGTATTGTTTCCAGAAAAGATATTCATATATAGGGAATAGTCAGTGAATATTATTTACCAGCTTTTCTATGTAATTAGAAAAAAGGTCACACTTTTCTTCCTTCACTCTACTATGTCCTCTGCATTCCAGGCAGATATATTTACAAAGATAAGTAAACAAGACTGATTAAGGTCCACATGATTAGATTAGGGATAGGTGGAACAGAATGATGGAGTAAATCAATATAAAATTATCTCCTTGGGATGTTTAAATGTAGCTTTTCTTAGCCTACAAGGTTAGAAAAAACTAAAAGAATAAAGAGGTTATGTTTTTATGATTTTTGCATAATTGTAATTATGATGATTGTTACCTTCTATATCAATATTCTGGTCAGGAATCTCCAGTTCAATAGTATTCATGCTGGATTCTTTCCAAGAACCACTGAACATACTAGAAAAGTAGCCAGACTTTAAAAAAAAAAAAAGAAAAAAAAAAAGGTCAATGATTACCCAGTACTTTCTGTCTTCCACATTACTTTCCCATTTCTAACTCTGAGCAACTATTCTATCAAAACTTATCCATTGTATTATTTCAAGAGAAAAAGAATTGCCAAATAGTCTATAGAAGAAAAAAGATAAGGACATTAACAATTATATCAAATATACCTAATGCTATCAGTTTAGTACTAACAGAGACTAAACCAAATTCATATATTACTATCTGAACTAAATTCCTACATTACTATTGAACCTTGTTAGCTTACCTAGTTAAAACAGACGGCAATTAAGTAAGCTTAGTTACTGCTTCCTTTAACAAGATCATTTCTGAGTATATTACATGTAGTATATGTTTTCCTTCTCAATGAGATTCTAAACTCAACCTCAGAATCTATGTCATGTATTTATGTATCTTCCATAAGCATATGGCAACACACTAAGTAGATATATGATAATGTACAAAGGAGGAGAGAAGAGGAAACTAAACTATCTTCAGACTATTGAATCCTTACTGTACCTCAGTGGCTATAAAGGGTCCAGACCCATCCTGAGTCAGTCCTAATAGGATGAATCCCAAATAAATTTGGGAAAATCCAACCATTAGTTTTATCTAAACAGAAAAGTCCAGAATGGATCTGAAATCTTGGACAGGTACTAGAGTGGACGAAATCTTTAGTTACCTTCTAGACAGCATTCTTCATAATTAGAATTACTTTAGAATGGGTCAAATATTAACTAATGTATTTTTAAAATTTTATTAAGTACTTATTATGTATAAGGCACTGTGAACAGGGCAGTAGACAAAATGGACGTTGTTTCTGTCCTCCGGGGGCTTGTATTTCCGCATGTGGCTCGCACTCTAATTGATCTAGTCTCTCTTGGGAGGGAAAGTCCTAACAGAGGCACTGTTACTCTCTAGTTCACAAAACTGCTGATAGAAAAATGAATAAGACGTGGGTCGTACATCCTCAGGTTGAGATCAACATTCTGATATATCCTCTGGGCTACATACTTCAAGCCAAAATAAACTTGTTCAGAAAAATAATTAATTAAAAAACATTACGATTAAAATGTTAGAGAAAAAATTATTTTTAAAATGTTTCAGCAAGAAAAATCTTACACTATAGTGTCCTACCAGTAATTATTCTCAAATGGTAAAGAAGACAGGTAAAATAAAAGCTCCAAAGAATAAGAATTGTTCTGTTCACTGCTCTATCCCCAGTGCTTAGAACCATGCCCACCACATAATAAATCCGATTAAAGAATGAATGAATGATATACTTGAGCCATTAGAGGTAACATTTTCTTCTATTTTGAAAATTCTGAATCTTTAGGATGAGGTGGCAGATAGTAATGTTTTCAGCACAGAAATCAATAGGTATACCAGCTAAATGACTTTATATACTCTTTTGTCTTGTCTTTAACTAGATCTTTTGGGGAAAGAGGGAAGAGTGAGTGTCAAGAACTTTTCATTCACATTCAATCTTAACCACAAAGCAACATTTCAAATGAATTTATCCAACTGAAATAATCATATACAAAATAAACAAAACTCGGCAATCTTAACTTTAATGTTAAACATTTTTTCCTAACATTTCCCCTTTTATCAACAGAAGGTGCCAAAATAAGCAACTTATTGAGGAAATGACAAAGAGGTAATGCTAGGCTGGGAAGACAATAAAAATTCAAAATCTGTTTTCTAGGTCAAACTAAAAATTTTCATTAACAGTATTCATCATTTTCTAATAAAACAGACTTTTAATCAGATTAGAGGACTTAAACAACTACTGTCCATGCAAAAGACTACTGTGAAATGCAGTGACAAAGAATATGACTTAAAAGAGTGCAAGAGTTTTTTTTAAAGTGGCTAATTCTAGTTACTCAGATGGAAAAAATAAACTTACTTACTTGACATAAATATATTTTGTGTAAGCTCCACTCTTCTCCTAGAGCACAAATCTTAATGTCACTATTTTCACCATTCAAAAACAATGTTTGATAAATGTATTTGGATGTACTCTTTAATTTTTTCCTGTTAAAAGAAATACAAGTTACATATATGTAAAAGAGAGTGTTTTACTGATTTTGCATACAACTCAAAATACTCCTTTTGTTCAATTTCTATTACAGTCCACATATCCACTGTGTAAAAGGGCGGTGGCGGGGGGGGAGGAGGGGGGAGGAGGATATTTCTATTTGCTCATATACGGAAGAGAACAGGAGGAACTATTAAGAGCGGTTACCTCTGGGTTCTCTAGTCACAGGAGGGGTGACAGTGGATAAATGGGGCAGCATGGGAGGGAGACCTTTACTGAACACCTTTTTGCAACCTTTCATTTTTGAATTAAGTGTGGTGGCTTTTGCTTATTTCCTAATAAAGAGAGCAGAACTACAGAGGAGCTCACTACAACTGCAGTAATATGCTATGCAACTAAAATACGGAAAACAAGTGAAAATTTCACCTACACAAGTAATTTAGTTTTTACTTTTTATTGGGCTTTAAGTGAAAGTTTACAGTTCAAGTCAGTTTCTCATACAAAAATTTATACACCCACTGCTATGTGACCCTAGCTGCTCTCCCTATAATGTGACAGCATACTCCTCCTTTCCACCCTGGACTTCCCGTGTCCATTCAACCAGCTACACAAGTAATTTTTAAAATAATTTACATTTCATCGTATTTTTGTAGCAAACTATTCTTAAAGTAGTTAAAACGTTATTTCCTTGAACAAATGGTACGCAGTATTAACCGTAAGGTTTCAAATTTATATTCAAGGGGGAAAGCGTCTCAAGGGCCAAGGGGAACTGACTGGTGGGACTCTGGGCATCCTGCCCAACTTCAACCAGAGCAGCGCCATGTACTGCATTTCTGCATAAGAGTTAAAGAAAGAGTTGCATTATTTTCTTTAAATGTTTGAAAATCACTGCTCAGGATGACCTAGTAAATGTGGAAAAGTCCCAGGCAGAAACTGACCAGTATCTTTTGAATTCCTGGCTAGTTCTGTCCTACAGTTAAAAGTTTTAAATCTCTTTTTAAAAATGAAATTACTGTTTCAGACCGTGTCTTGAACCAGTGTATTTAACACTTTTTGCCAAAAGACAATAAAAATAGTACATGCTTTGGTAGTGGACAGACTTGGGTTTGAGGCCCCACTCTACCATAGCTCAGTTACCTTATCTGTAAAAAGAGAATATTAACAGTATCTACTTCAGTGGGTTATGGTGAGAAATGAAACAATGTAGCTTCTAGTTCATGATAGCCTAAGGAGTACATGTTTGCTTCCCATCTCTACCCAAATTACACTAAAAGATCAAAAGTACAAAAAGGAATAAACCCACAACAGGAAAAAAGGTGGGCTTATCACGATAAGAGAATTCCATTGATCTGAAAGTTAGAAAATAAACTGGAATGAAAAAGCACAGAGAAAGCCATAGCCCAGAATACAATATGAAGGGCTGTGATGGAGGTTGGAGCCTATCTGCCCTTCAGAACCCTGCGGGGTGGATGGTGGAGAGGGAGAACTAAGGGACACAAAAGGCAGAAATGATAAGTGGGGCAGAAGACAGGGAAACTTGTTCCCCTAGAGGCCCCCTCCACTATCTATGAACACAAAAGTACAGATAACCAGAGTTACAGATAACCCAGGTAAAAAGATTCCAAAGCTCTCCTAGAAAGAAACAGAACTTACCAGGAAGATCTAAGGCTTTAGCGTAGGTGTTGTCACCCTGGATAAAGCAATCCTCATTCTAGTATTTGAGGAGTCTGTAGGCTGTCAATTCCCAAACCATTCAGCCTAAGTCATGGTTCTTGAACTGTGTGCTGAGGCACTGGGGAGCACCACAGCAAACTCAAGAGAAGCATGTGGAAAATTTTAAATGTAAAGGAAACACAGAAACATCTTTCGGATACCATGCAGTTTACTACTATTGAGTTTTTTGGACCTAACTATGAAGTATTTCTTTTGGACCAGAAGGGCTATAAAAAATATTATGAGCACACTAAGGGCACTGTGAACTAAGAAAGTTTGGGAACCTCTGCTCTAAAGCAAAGCATGCCCCACACATATCCAATGAGGTGGTAGTTCAGTCTTGCTACTCAAAGAAAAGGCTTATTGGAAATAACATCTATTTACTCAATTAAACAAACACATACACACACAAATCAGCTCCCCATTCTTATATATAACTAGACAATCAAGGATCACTCAACATGAGGAAAATTAGCAGCGTTAAAGACCATAAAAAGAGAGAAAACTGGCCCCAGAGAAAGTATATAACTCAAGGAAAAGAGAAAAAGAAAAACACTCCTCTCCCAGTCTCCACCTATGGCCCTATGGGGAGTTCTTTATGATCAGCTGAGTGAGGAGGAGAAAACTCATCCCTGGTTTATAGATGGTTCTGCACGATACGCAGGCACCACTCCAAAGTGGACAGTGGCAGCACTGCAGCCCTTCTGGGAAGGACAGGACAGGGGTGAAGAAAAATCCTCCCAATGGGCAGAACTTCGAGCAGTGCACCTGGTTGTTCACTTTGCCTGGAAGGAGAAATGGCCAGATGTGCAACTGTATACTGATTCATGGGCTGTGGCCAATGGTTTGACTGGATGGTTAGGGACTTGACGGGAAAATTGATATGGGGAAGAGGCATGTGGATAGACCTCTCTGAATGTGCCAAAGAAGTGAAGATATTTGCGTCTCGTGTGAATGCTCACCAACGGTGACCTCGGCAGAGAGGGACTTTAACGATCAAGTGCATAGGATGACGCCTTCTGTGCAAACTAGTCATTCTCTTTCCCTAGCCACTCCTGTCATTGCCCAGTGGGCTCATGAACAAATTGGTCATAGTGGCTGAGATGGAGGTTATACACGGGCTCAGCAACATGGACTTCCACTCTCCAAGGACAACTTGACTACAGCAACTGCTGAGTGCCTAATCTGACAGCAACAGAGACCAACACTGAGTCCCTGATATGGCATCATTCCTTGAGGCAATTGGCCAGCAACCTGGTGACAGGTTGATTACATTAGACCACTTCCATCACAGAAAGGGAAGAGTTTCATCCTTACTGGGATAGACATTTACTCTGGATATGGATTTGCCTTCCCTGCACTCAATGCTTCTGCCAATACTACCATGCGTGGATTCCCAGAATGCCTTATCTACCATCACGGTGTCCCACACAGCATTGCTTCTGATCAAGGGACTCACTTCATAGCAAATGAAGTGCAGCACTGGGCCTATGCTCATGGAATTCACTGGTCCTACCATGTTCCCCATCATCCTGAAACAGCTGGCTTGGCAGAATGATGGAATGGCCTTCTAAAGATACAGTTATGGTGTCAGCTAGGTAGCAGTACTTTGCAAGGTTGGGGCAATATTCTCCAGGAGTCTGTATATGCTCTAAACCAGTGTCCAATATATGGTGCTGTTTCTCCCATACCCAGGATTGACGGGTTCAGGAATCAAGGGGTGGGAATGGGACTGGAACCACTCACTATTACCCCGAGTGACCCACTCATAAAATTTTTGTTTCCTGTATCCACAACTCTATACTCTGTGGGTCTAGAGGTCTTAGTTCCAAAGGGACGAATGCTCCCACGTGGAGATACAAGGCTGATTCCACTGAACTGGAAGTCAAGAATGCCACCTGGCCACTTTGGGCTCCTCATGCCTCTGGAACAACAAGCAAAGAAGGGAGTTACCATACTGGCTGGTGTGACTGATCCTGATTTTCAAGGGGAAATCAGATTAATATTACAGAATGGAGATAAAGAAGAGTATATCTGGAATACGGGAGATCCCTTAGGGTGTCTCTTAATACTACTATGCCCTGTGATTAAAGTCAATGGAAAACTACAGCAACCCAATTCTTATATGACTAATGGCCAAGACCCTGCAGGAATGAAGGCCTGGGTCACCCCATCAGGCAAAGAACCACAACCAGCTGAAGTACTTGCTGAGGGTAAAGTAACATGGAATGGGTGGTGGAAGAAGGTAGCTCTAAATACCAGTTACAACCATGTGACCAGTTAAGAGGACTGTAACTGTTATATTTCTTTCTTGCTTTATTATACATGTATGTGTGCGTGTGTATGTACATAGCAAATATTTTTGTTTTCTTCCCTCCATGTGGGGCATGCTTTGCTTTAGAGCAGAGGTTCCCAAACTTTCTTAGTTCACAGTGCCCTTAGTGTGCTCATAATATTTTTTATAGCCCTTCTGGTCCAAAAGAAATACTTCATAGTTAGGTCCAAAAAACTCAATAGTAGTAAACTGCATGGTATCCGAAAGATGTTTCTGTGTTTCCTTTACATTTAAAGGGAAGTTGTATAATGGGGCTAGCGCGTTTTTGATTGTACGCATGTTAGTCGTATGATGTTAGGCTCTAGTACGACTTTGTAACTGTCTTTATTTAGAGATAATGCATGTTTTAAGGAAATGTATACAGGTGCCAAGTTGACAAGAGGTGGACTATGATGGTTAATGTTATGTGTCAACTTAGCTAGGCTATGATTCTCAGTATTATACAATCACCCTCCATTTTGTGATATGATGTAATCACCTCCATGATGTGATCTGATGTGATCGGCCAATCAGTCGTAAAGGAAGTTTCTCCGGGGGCATGGCCCACACCCAGTATATATACAGATGTTCTGGCAAAGTTTGTCTGCTTGCTCTCGATCCTGCATCCAGCTTGTCATCATCTGACCTTCAGTTCTTGGGACTGGAGCCGGTAGCCTGCCAATCTTGGAATTCCTCAGCTTTCACAGCTGGTAAGCCAGCAGCCTGCCATCTCACCTGCCATTCTTGTCATCATCCTCTGCAGCCTGTGAGCCAGTAGTCTTCTGTCTGATCTGGCAATCGTGGGTTCGTCAGCTTCTGCAGCTACATGAGTCAGAAGCAGCCAGCTTGATGCCTGACCCACGGACTTGGGACTTGCCAGCCTCAGTAACTACATGAGCCATTTCCTTGAGATAAGTCAATTTCTCTCTCTCTATGCTTCGCTGGTTTTGCTTCTCTAGAGAACCCAGCCTTAGACAGCCTTAGAAGGGAGGATGGTGAGACTTCATTTTATGTACTTTGGACATGTTATCAGGAGGGACCAGTCCCTGGAGAAGGACATTATGCTTGCCAAAGTAGAGGGTCAGCAAAAAAGAGGAAGACCCTCAACAAGATGGACTGACACAGTGGTTGCAACAATGGGCTCAAACACAGCAACAATTGTGAGGATGGTGCAGGACTGGGCAGTGTTTTGTTCTGCAGTACACAGGGTCACCGTGAGTCGGGAGGAACTCGACAGCACCCAACAACAACAAATGGTAACCACACTGACCTTACCTTTAGATATTAACCGCCACCATTTGGTTTTTTCCACCCTATGGTCCAACAGTCCCCACTGCATTTAAGGATTCCAGTTCAGTGATAGCAGTTCTCACTATAATTTGTAATCTACAGAGAAAAGTTACCATAGACATCTTCAAGGATGTTGAGGCTTCCCTCACAAACATTGCTCATGTGCTATGGTGAGAGATCTAGACTCTCCCAGGGTGGGTGAGCAGGTCTTTCATGATAAGTCCACTCTAACGTTCCAATCTTCCTAAGCCTCTGGACTTCATCTGCAGTATACCAAGACAATTCTGGCATTTCAAGTTCGTTTAGTACAGACTATCTTTTGGTTTGTTTCAGCTAACCAACCAAATCAATTGTTAGAGCTCTTTCTAACCCCTTGATCTACAACACTGAATCCAAAATCTCAATTTTGCTGTTGTTGTTGAGTTCAGTTCCGACTCACGGTGACCCCATGTGTGCAGAGTAGAACTGCCCCATAGGGTTTTCAAGGCTGTGATCTTTTGGAAGCAAATCACCAAGCCTAAGGTACCTCTGGGTGGGTCCAAATCACCAACCTTTCAGCTAGTAGTTGAGTGCTTAACCATCTGCGCCACCCAGTGGGTTCCTATCAATAAATTTGGCCTGATCCAACGTTATATTCATTCCACTATTATCTCACACCGTTAATATCTATTCCCATACATATGCTCCAGATTTCTGCTGGCATAAATTGGAAATATATCATGCAGTTCTTTGGGGTGCAGCACACCTCCTTGTGGGTCACACTTTGTACCTTACCTTTCAGGGCCTGATGGTCATAGTCTAGTTATGGGTCTAGAAGCAAAAAGGGATGGTGGGGAGACATCATAAGGATAATCAGCAAAGCCTTGCAGGGCAACTACCTCAGGGGACGTCATCACAGGTTCTTTAGACAAAGCAGGGTTAACCTCCTCAGACAGGAGTAGAAGGGCTGCTTCTACTGGCAAAGACGACCCAGGTTCATCGGAATCTGCCCATATGTCCCATTTCAATTTTCAAGATCCTATTCCTTCCCAATCAATGCTTGCACTTTAACAGCTGACACCCTGTGAGACTGGGAATTCAATTTGCGTTGTAATTCAGCCACTCGTAGGATGAGACTCTGGGTTTGGTTTTCAGCAATCTCAGCTTTGTGGATACAGGACACAAAGTTTTCTTTCAGAGTACACATAGAAACTTTCTTATCATTCATGTGGTACTTGAGTTGGCTTTTGAAGCCCTGAGTTCATCCTTTTCTTTCCCCTTTTCTCCAGTGCAATTAGGAGCAACCAGGCAATCTCATTATACTCAATAGTTTGACAAAAATGTCCTGAAGTATCAAACACATGGTTACTGAGAAATCTGGAGTATCTAATGGTGATATTTTGCATACCTCTGTTGCCATATCATACCATGGACTATCAGTGCACTCTTTAAAATGGGAAATAGAGCCATTAGTGCTCTCTCTTTACAACTGGAAGTAGAGTCATTAGTGCTTTTAAGTCTAAGCAGACTAGAGAACCAATTCCCGAAACCCCAGATTCAATTCAGAAAACTTACCTTTAAGATTCTGTTCCTCTAGAATCCCTCCCAGTACCAAAATCTGTATTTTGTCAGGGTTTTCCAGAGAAACAGAATCAATAGGATTAATGTAAATATGTGTGTATATGTAAGTATACACATGTATACATACACATATATTTACATATATACACACATATACATATTGTGTGAGAGAGAAACTGACAGATTTTAAGGAATTGGTTCAAGTGATTGTGGGAAATGGCAAGTCTTAAGTTTGTAGGGTAGGCCAGCAGGCTGTAAACTAAGGCAGCAGTTGATGTTGCAGTCTGAAGTGCAAAATCTGTAGGGCCGGCCAGCAAGCTGGAACCTCAGGATGTGATGCTGCAGTCTTGACTATGAAATCTGCAGGGCGACCCAGCAGGCTGGAAACTCTGGTAGGATTTGATGCTGCAGTCTTGAGGTAGAATTTCTTCTCCAGGAAACCTCAGTTTTAGCTCTTGAGGCCTTCAACTGACTGAATAAAGCTCACCTACATTATCAAGGGTAATCTTTGAAGTCAACTGATAGTTGATGCTAACCATATCTACCAAATACATTCACAGCAGCAAACAGATTGTTTAATTAAATAATTGGGTGCTACAGGCTAGACAAGTTGACACACAAGGCTGGTCATAAAGCCTCCAAGCAAGCTTGTCCGCATTCCAGTGGAGAGTTTCCTGCTTGCCAGCCTCAGCCTACCACACTTAGCAAAAACTTCTTCACCATCCAGTGGTCTACAGCCACAGCCCCTCCAACAACATCTGAATCTCAGTTTGGAGAGGGGCCCTATTCCAAATTTGTTCCTTCCTTGGGTATTCTGCCTCAGCCCTAGAAGTAGTGGCTGCTCCCTATATCTGCTATTCCTGTATTTCTTAGAGATCTCTTTACCCCTTAGCAGTTAATCTGCTGTTGCTTATTACTGTTTATATTTTTTTTCTGTTCAAATTACTGTGTGGCTGCTCTTTCAAATGGACCTTAACTGATATATATTTCAATAGTTAAGTACAAGTGGTCTAAACACAAACTAAAATGCAGAAATTGTCCTACTGGATAAAAAAAAAAAAGCAAGACTCAACTACATGCAATTATAAGATACCTCAGGAGCCCTGGCGGCACAGTGGTTAAGCATTCAGCTGCTAACTGTAAGGTGAGTGGTTTGAACCCACCAGCAAAGATATGGTAATCTGCTTCTGTAAAGATTACAGCCTTGGAAACCCTATGGGGCAGTTCTACTCTGTCCTACAGGGTTGCTATGAGTTAGAATCGACTCGATGGCAACCGGTACAAGATGACTACTTTGAGTATAAAGACACAGGTAGGTAAAAAGTGAAAGGATGGAAAAAGATATACTATTCAAACACTAATCAAAAGGTAGCAGAACTGGCTATATTTATTACCAGGGAAAAGAGGGACATTTCATAATGATAAAGGGGTCAATTTATTTAAAAAAAAAAAAAAAAAACCAAACCCATTGCCATTGACTCAATTCTGACTCATTGAGACCACATGTGTTACAGAACAGAACCGCTCCATAGGGTTTTCTTGGCTGTAGTCTTTATGGAAGCAGATTGTCAGGACTTTCTCTAATGAAACCGCTAGGTGGGTTTGAAACGCCAATCTTTAGGTTAGTAGTTGTGCACAAAAAAGAGCATATTTACTAAGAGCTTACATACCAGGCACTGTGTGCAGTATGCATTCTCATTTATTTGTCAAACCCTGTATTAAAAAAAAAGAAAAAGAAACCAAACCCACTGCCATAGAGTTGACTCCGACTCACAGCAACCCTACAGGACAGAGTAAAACTGCCCCATAGGGTTTCCAAGAAGCGGCTGGTGGATTCGAACTGCCAACCTTTTGGTTAGCAGCTGTAGCTCGCCATAGCTCTTAACCACCGGGACACCAGGGCTCCAAACCCTGTAAGGCAGGTATTAATATCTGTATTTTATATAAGAGGAAATAAAGCTATTAAGTGTAAAATTATGGATGAGAACACAGAATTTGAGCTCTTAAAAATGTTACACCAACTCTCCCAAAGGTCACTCAACGGTATTCACAATAGAGGCCCATTTTTATAAACAAATACAAACATATTCAAACATAAAACTGTGTGAAAGGTTTTATAAATCAAACTATTAATAGTGGTTATGAGTGATCGAATCATAATGGTATTTTTATCTTAAACTTTTTTTTTTACAATAAATATGTAACACTTGTGTAGCAAAATTTTTTTAATGAATTATTTTTCTAAAGTTTCATTTAAAAAATTACATCTATATGACTCCACCGATGATCTTTTTTTTAAACAGAGCAACCAGATTGTTTATGTGCAAATATATCCTACTCAGAAACTACATTCGAGTTCACAGGTTGGTAACCCATTTGTCAGCTCTTCAAATAAGGTGAAGCAAGCTGCAGCACAGCCTTACACATAACCACGGTCAACGCCAAGTATTCGAGACTTAGAAAGAAAGGAATCCACGTCAGTAACAAATGTACACTACTGATAAACTTCACCTTCACAGTTAAGGAGCCTTCCTGTGCGCAGTTACTTCCCCTCCACTCACTGAGTGGACAACAACAGGGGTACCCTTACTCAGAGACTAAATTTGCATTTCTAATTATTTAAGGCAACCGGGTGCAAAAGAACTTACATTACTGCCACCCACTCAAAGAGGAAAAAGCTGTGTTAGGAAGGCCAACCAGTCGGTTATCTCTAAGTTTTATGAGACGCAAGCTCTGGCTTGGTGTTTCTGAGTGTCATCCTGGGGCTATAACAACACCCTGGCAGCGTCTGTGGTTTATAACCCAGAACATCAGGCGACTCGCAGGGCGCACCCCGATCCGCCCTGGGTCGGGCCGGCTTCCCGGCCTCATTCCCGGGTGGCCCCCACATTTACCCTGTCAAGGGCACGTCCGCTCTTTGCAGGCTGGGGAGCGCCGCACCTCCCAAGCGCACCGGGCGCTAGGCTCGTCCCCAGGCCGGGTCGCGGGAGCACGAGGCGGTGGCGCACCGTGGCCCAACAGGTGCGGGAGCGGGCCAGTGTGGGCGCGTCCCCCCAGGTACCTTCGAGGGGTGTTGAGGAGCCGCTGTTGCTCGTCCCCTTCCTCTTCATCCTCGTCCGTCTCGGAGTCGGGGTGACAGTAGCAGAAGGCCCCGCTGCTCCGCTTGCGCTTGAGGCTGCCCGGGCAGTAACAGAAGCCGTGGCCGGGTGTGTCGCCGCCTGTCCTGGGCCCACGGGCCGAGCCCACTGCCCCGGAACCCGGCTCCGGCTGGACTTGGGTTCGCCCCCGGTGGCGCAGCACTCGGCTGCTCAGCGAGCCCATGGGCGACGGCTCCCCGGGACTTCAGGGAGCGCACCTCAGGGAGCCCAGCAGAGAGGGTCTCCCGCCATGGTCCGGTCCCGCCGGCCTCTCCCCAGCTCGAGTGCTTACACGGCCACCCTCTCACGCGCAGCCCCAACCGTTGCAGCGGACGACACCACCTCCATCCTCTGCCCCGCCCGCGGCGTCTCGCCGCGCGGCGCGCCTGAACCGCAGGACCTCGCCCCCTTGCTTTCTCAACAAAGCGTGGATCGGAGGGCGCACGCGCGCGGCGAGCCTCCGGAAGGGGCGGGGAGAGGCGAGTCTGCGTGGCTGGTAGAGCCTGCGCAGATGGGGACGTGGGCGGTAGGTGGGACACGCGTGCGCCTGGTTGTTTCTGGCCTGCTGTCGGTCTGTGCCTGGGTACCGTGAACTTTGTGGGCAGACCCAACGTTTAACCGTAGTTCACACACCCCTTATTGTTGGTAAGATCGGAGATTCCAGGTCATTCATTCTTTTTTCAAAGCTTCCTTGAGTTCCAGATGTTTACTGGGCTCTGTGCTAGGCGAGGGGCAAAATGACTTGCTGTCTGGACTTCTCCTTGGGGTAGTTCACCACGTGCAGGGATCCCGCTCTGCGGGGGTGGGGCATGGCTTCCTGGGGAAGGAGAACGTAGAGTGACTATCTGGGAGGAGGAGGGCTGCGTTTTCTTCTACGTCAAGTCTCTGATTGATGCTCTTAAGATGAAAGAAACCCGTTGGGATACCTTCCCTGAAGTTCCCTCCCCAGCGGAAGTGGAACGTCTGAATAGGGTCTAGTACCGAGACTGTCAGGACTTAAAGTGCTTTCAGGAGGTCTGAGTAAAGTTTTTACAGGTGTCAGTCTGGAGTATTATGGGTCTTTACTATGGACTCTGGGCCACCAACTTTCATTCCCTCTTTTAAATAAAATATTTATGACAAAATATTTCAAATTTGTTGTTAGCTGCTCTCCGAGCCCTGGTGGCGCAGTGGTTTTGGCTGCTAACCAAAAAGGTCGGCAATTTCAATCTCCCAGCCTCTCCTTGGAGACACTATAGGGCAGTTCTACTCCGTCCTGTAGGGCTGCTGTGAGTTGGAATCTGACAGCAATGGGTTTGGTGGGTTTCGTAGCTGCTCTTGATGAGGTGGTGCAGACTCATGACGACCTTATGTATAACAATGAAAAGTTGCCTGATCTGCACCATCTTCATGATTGTTGGCATGTTTGAGTCCATTGTTGTGGCTACTGTGTCAATCCATCTCATTGAAGGTTTCCCTCATTTTCACTGACCCTCTACCAACCATGATGTCCTTTTCTAGCAATTTGTTTTCCTTAATGTATCCACCCTCCACCACTGGATTCTAAGGCGCATTCTGGTTGTATTTCTTCTAAGACTGATTTACTCGTTCTTCTGGCAGTCCACAATATATTCGATATTCTTTAGAAATGTGAAAAACACCTATGTACCCACCACCTGACTTGAAATTTTAAGTTTTACTTGCTTTGGATCATTTTTTAAAAACAATATAGATTCTCAGAAGCCTCTTCTTTACCCCTTCTCCATTTCATTCTGCCTCCCTCCCTCCCCAGTGGTGACCACTATTCGTGTGAGTGGTGTATATATCATTATTCCCATGCGTGTTTTTTATACATTATCTATATGCATACCCACAAACAATAAATTTCCTTTGGTACATTTAGATATACAGCTAAACGAAGTCATACCATAGCCATCATCCAGCACCCTTCTCCTCAAAACTATACCTTTGAGATTTATCTAATTGATAAATTTCTAGTTCATTTTCACTGCTTACTGTGTCACTAACCAGCAATTTGTTTATCCAGTCCCCTACTGAGGGAGTTAAGTTGTTCCTGCTTTAATGCTTTTACAGAGCAGCAATGAGCAAAAGACGCAACAAGGAGATCCCTAGAAGTGGATTCCCTAGGAACTTTTCGACTTTATTTGCTATTAACAATTTGCTCTGTGAAATGACTGTACCAGTTTACACTCCCATCACCAGTGTATGTAGTTTGGGGGACCCAGTTGACTGGTGTCTGATTCACACCTAAGAAATGCGAACAGCAAGAGGCTGGCTGAGGTTGGGGGAGGGGGGAACAGAGCAATGGCTACACTGGGATCAGCCTGCACACCCTGTCAGCACAAAGGATGTGCAAGTGTTTCCCATGGAGCAGATGTGGACCACCATGAGAGAGCCACCATGGGATCATCTTAGATTCTGTCCAAGAGGCCTGGGTAGAAGGGCAAACAGACCTCAGCACAGAGAAGCTAAAAGTATCACTGAATTCCTAGAGGCTGGAAAAGGAATAAGTGACCAGCTAGAAAAGAACTACATTTGCCCTGCAAAGTGGTTCTCCAGTGATGGGGTTGACAAAGGAACCTATGAGTGTGCCCACAGAATCAGCTTTAAAGTCTGCCAAGGTGACAGATCCTCTACCACCACAGCAAATACAGTCAGATAGGAACTTTCTGCTCCTCTTTACTACCCTCCCTCCCCCTGCTACACCCCTGAGAGGGCGGCTAGAGGGGGAAGGAGGTATGGAAGGAAGCCCAGGTAGATAAAGAAGAGAAGCCCACTTGTCCTTTTCCCCAAAAGCCGGCTTCCTGCTGGCAGTAGGCCAGAGCTGAATGAGGGAAGAAGCCTCAGCTATACATTAAGTTTGGAATTTTGACTAGACATATTAATTATTGAAATGGCACTGGACAATAGGACTTTTAAAACCTAAGAGTAACCAGAAAAGTCATGACTCTGCCTGAATTTTCATCTAGGGACGGGAGAACTAAGCCCACTGAATAAATGTAAATGGTGGGAGAGAAAAAGAAAGTTGCTTTGTAATTATATCCCTTAAGTCATGCTTGTTCAAGATAGGTAACAAACAGGGTGGCTTTATCCTGCCTTCTACAAAGCTGTCAGTCAAAAAAATGCAACCTATTTAAAAATTCTGCCTAAGTCATATATAGTTCTAAAGGTAAAACTTCTACCAAAAAATGCATAATGCTTCCCAAGCGAAATAAAACTGATTTGGAGACACCATGTTCTTCTGGGTAGGTATCTACACGGCAGTACTATTTCCTATAATTAACTTTAATGACTAAGTATTCCCATAAATAGCTTTCACCAATAGCTCAAGCACTCATAATAGACAAGTAGCACCAAACTGAAAAATCCTTATACAGTATTTCACCCTTCAAAATACAATAGGACCATGGCAATCCCATGTGTTTCAGAGTATCACTGTGCTCCATAGAGTTTTCAATGGATGTTTTTTCAGAAGATTGCCAAGCCTTTCTTCCAAGGCACCTCTGGACTCAAACCTCCAACCTTTAGATTAGCGCTGAGTTTGTTAACTGTTTGCACCACCCAGAGATACCTCAAAATCAGTAGGAATTACATAATGAACAAAGAAGCAAATATTTAATATAAATATTCTACTTAGAACAGAAAGCATCCCTCATTTCCAGCGAATAAATTAAATATATTATTTTATATCATTTGAGTAGTGTTTGGCATATGTAAACATTAGTTTATGGCAGTAGATGCACATAAGACTAAAATATGTTATTTTTTCTCATGCTGTCGTCCCTAATAAAAGCCAAAAAAACCAAACCCGTTGTCATCAAGTCCATTTCAACTCATAGTGACCCTACTGAAACTGAGTAATACAAGCCCTTCAAAAACACCTCTTTTCAGGGTCCAGGATGAAAAGAATTCAGAAGTGGAAAAATCAGTCAGAAAAAGAATATACCTCATTTTAAAGACACCATGTTTTATTAAAATTATTTTTCCATGTTGTATACAAACTGAACTTTTGAATTAAATCCAAATACACCTTCAGAATGATTCTAGAGTTGAAGGCACAATGCAAACGCAAATTACTAAAAATCACTGAAATAGAAAAAGACTCCAAAAGTTATTTTTAGCACAAAAAGTTTTTTTTAAGTCAAACTAAATTCAAAGCATTATACCATTACCAGAATACGTAGTATGACACTTAATTTTTTTCCACTGGTCTTCAAGCTGGATTAAGACATTAGACATAATACTGTGGAATGTTCAACGGTCGCGTTTGGTAAACAGACATACACAACCACATTTAGAATTTAATTTGTTCAGACAAGTTGGTGATTTTGGTATACGCCAACCTGGAGAGAGTAAGTGATCTTAACAGGTGATTGGGAGAAGTCTCCCACGCCAAGCTTAGTAAGTTAACTAATAGACGTCTATAGACGAAACCTAAACGAAGGGCATTTGTGGATGATTTCAGTCTATGTCTGTAAAATAGCAAACTAGATGGCTATTCTTACTAACTGCTCACAATTTCAAATCAAGAAGTTATTAGCACACAAAAAATAGGATTAGGGAAGAAAGATGATTTTAGAAAAGGCTTCTAGTCCTTCAGTTTTTTAACAACTCTTCACCAAACAGAAAACGTGAAATGATTCAATATATTCCAATTTCTCTGAAACACAACCAAGGAAGAAATTTAGTAGAAGCATGGAGTACATTTTTATTTATAATTTTAAATTTCCTTTCAGGTTTTATAAGCTTTGAAATGCAAGTACAGCTTTAAAGCATCAAAACGACTAATTATAGATGAATAATAATACAGACAGTCTAGATCCTAGGAGGCAACTGTAGGCGTTTTAATTGGAAATAAGCATTCTGAGATAACGCTAATAGCAGTGTAGAAAAATGAAGTTAAAAAAAAATTCAAAGCTTTGGGGATCCTCCCATCCTTCATGGATTTTAGTTTAATCATCTCCTCCACAGAGAATTAGCAGCACCTTCCTGTAATCTCCGGATGTGTCATCCTGGGGGCAAGGGAAGCAAAATTACAGTCAGATAAATGGGTCTTAAAGTGGAATATGCAGTTTAAAGTCACCTAAGTTAATTTTTTCAAGCTTCTCTGGATTCGTCTCAGTTTTTTAAAATAACATTTGTTATTTTTTATTACAAAAGCAATACTCGTTCAATGTAGAAAATAAAGACATAAAAGAACAACACAAAAATCACCCATAATTCCACCATCTAGAGATTACTAGGGAGGAGCCCTGGTGGCACAGCACTCGGCTCCTAACTGAAAGGTCAGCAGTTCAAACCCACCAGCAGCTCCGCGTGAGAAAGATGTAGCAGTCCGATTCTGTAAAGATTTACAGCCTTGGAAACCGCGTGAGGAAGTTCAGCTCTTTTCCTGTAGGTTGCCTGTGTGCTGAAATCGACTCGACGGCAAGGGTTTTTTTTTAGAATTTACTACTCTTAACATTTCGGTGTTTGCATATACTTCAGTTTTTGTTCTATGCATATAGACGCCTATGTGATGGGACTGTAGTATTCTTCTGTATTCTGCATGTGAGTGGTACAATTAACTTTACACAAAGAATCTGGTTGTTATCCCCAGTTTCTAAGAGGTAACCTATAAACCCTTGGAATTTCTCCAGTGATTGGAGTCTTTGTTGATCACACAAGTTTATGCTAATGAGGGAGTCATGTTGGGTGGGAGATGGCCATGCCAGAAAGACTCACCCTCTGTTACCAGCCTGACACCAGGGTGGGAAGGTGACTAGTGACTGAGTTAAACCATATGGGCAATGATTCAGTCAATTGTGCTTGTCTTCTGAAACCTAATAAAAACTCTGCTAAAAAAAACTCTGAAGCAGAAGTCAAGAAATCAAATGACGCATTGCATTCGGCAAATTTGCTGCGAAAGACCTCTTTAAAGTGTTAAAAAGCAAAGATATCACCTTGAAGACTAAGGTGCACCTGACCCAGGCCATGGTGTTTTCAATTGCCTCATATGCATTCGAAAGCTAGACAATGAATAAGGAAGACCAAAAGAGAATTGATGCTTTTGAATTACGGTGTTTGTCATGGATTGAATTACGTATCCCCAAAAATGTATCAAGTTGGTTGAGCCATGATTCCTGGTATTGCGTGATTTTCCTAAATGTTGTAAATCCTGCCTCTGTGATGTTAATGAGGGAGGATGGGCGGCAGTTGTGTTAGTGAGGCAGGACTCAATCTGCAAGATTGGATTGTGTCTTGAGGCAATCTCTTGAGATATAAAAAAGAGAGGCGAGCAGAGAGACAGGGGGACCCCATACCATCAAGAAAGCAGTGCCAGGAGCTGAGCGCATCCTTTGGACCCGGGGTCCCGGCGCAGAGAAGCTCCTAGTCTGGGAGAAGATTGATGAGAAGGCCAACAGAGAAAGAAAGCCTTCCCCTGGAGCTGATGCCCTGAATTTGGATTTTAGCCTACTGTACTGTGAAGAAATAAATTTCTCCTTGTTAATGCCATCCACTTGTGGTATTTCTGTTATAGCAGCACTAGATGACTAAGACAGTATTGGCGAAGAACAGTGAACATACCATGGACTGCCAAAAGAACAAACAAATCTGTCTTGGAAGAAGTACAACCAGAATGCCCCTTAGAAGCGAGGATGGTGAGACTACGTCTCGCATACTTTGGACATGTTATCAGGAGGGATCAGTCCCTGGAGAAGGACATCATGCTTTGTAAAGCAAAGGGTCAGCGAAAAAGAGAAAGACCCTCAATGAGATGGATTACACAGTGGCTTCAACAATGGGCTCAAGCATAAAAATGATTGTGAGGATGGCGCAGGACCGGGCAGTGTTTTGTTCTGCTGTATGTGGGTCGCTATGAGTCGGAATCAACTAGACGGCACCTAACAACAACAACAACAATAAAAACTCTGGACACTGAAGGTCAGGTGAGCTTCCTGGTTGATGAAAGATGCACAAGAGGGTAACGTGTCTTGGGACCCAAAAGCTTTCTTTGATTAACTTAAGATACAGCCTAATCTTGTAGATTGAGTTCTGCCTCATTAACATAATTGCCTCTAATCCTGCCTCATTAACATCATAAAGGTAGGATTTACAACACATAGGAAAATCACATCAGATGACAAAATGGTGGACAATCGCACAATACTGGGAATCATGGACTAGCCAGGTTGCCACATATTTAGGGGGGACACAATTCAATCCATGACAGCATCCTTTAGAATAAAACTGTATTCGTAAGTATAGAGCTTTCCTGAGTTCTGCCAGTCATTCTAGCAAATTATAGTACCCGAGGGGCTAATGGGAACCCCTGAATTTATACCAGCAGATCAGAAGTAAAGGTGTCCTGGGGACCCCCGAACTTTTAAATGGTGTCTGAAGTCTCAGGCAGCCTGGGAAGTCTGCAGTACTGTACGCTTTAACTTGTGAGATCTGACCGAGAGCTGGGTGGTTGGGGTCAGAAGGAGCGCTGCTTTTACAGTTGGTGTCACAGAGGACATTTAGAGTTTGTTAGAAAGACACACAGAGAATGTACTGCTTTTTTCACCTAACAATATAGCCTTAATATTTCCCTATTTTACTGAATATTCTTTTATATCATCATTCTTTAACGGTTAAAGAATATTCCATCGTACATTGGTAAAATAATTTATTTGATTAACCCCCATCATTGCTGGATATTTATGTTGGTTCCAATTTTTCATTGTTATAAACCCTGCTGCTATAAGCATATTATCATTCAGTTTCTGTGCATATTCTTGATGATTCGTTTAGAATAAATTTTTCCTAAAATGGGAATTACTGGATTAATGATTCATGTATTTTCTTAAGCCTTTTGATACAGGTTGCCAGGTAGCCTTCCAGAAAAGTTCTATAACTTCTACACAGAAATTTTTATGGTCTAATAGATCAGTTTTGTAAATACATCATTGGCACTAGAAAAGATGGAATCTCTGTCTATAGGATTCAAAGTTTAATATAGTTATCCATTGAATTCAGTCTTTAATATGTTCTTTTTTATACTTTGCCTCATTGATCTGCCAAAGAATAAGAATGTGTGAAAGTCTTTCATTAGCATAGTACTGCCATCAGTGTCTTCTTCTGGATCTTCAAGTTTTTTATTCACATATTTGAATGCAAGACTATTTGGCACCTATAGTTTCATAAAAATCAATCCTTGTTGTGAATTGTTGCCTTTATTAATATAAAGTGATCTACTTTCTCCTATTTAATGCTTTTTCTACACTAATAGTATAACCTCTGCTTTCTTTTTTGTGTTTGTTCAATTTTCCTTTGTCTGGCCTTTTTCTTTACGCTTCTTAGATATCACTGTATTTTAGGTGTTTCTCATGAACAGCATGAAGTTGGACTTTATATTTTTACCTAACCTGAGAGCTTATTTATTTGTATTACTATAACATGTTTTTGGTCATTTGTCATTATGTCATTTTCTTCTGGGATTTACATATTTTATGCTTCTATTCTGCTTCTTTTACCAGTTATCATTAAATGGGCAATATATTTTTTATTTCTATCTTTTCAATGGGTTGTGTGTGTGTGCGTGTGTGTGTGTTGCCAAAATATTTATAAACGTTGAAAACGTTTATGATGATGTTTTCCCAAACCAATCAATGTATTTGTATCCCATCATTTTAGTGGCTGTATAGTATTCCAGTGTGTGGATTTTCCACAATTTATTTCAGCCCATTGGTTAATGTAAATATAAATAATATAAAGTAAATAATGTAAGTATTGCTATGATAAAAATATAAGATTTAGTGTAGTTTTATTACTTTCTCTAAAGAAATTCTTAGATATATAAATAGCTACGTGAGATGTTCTGTTTTTTTCCCTCAAATACTTATTGCCAAATGACCTCCCGCCTCAGAAAGGTTAGACCAGTTTACAGTTCCTCCATAAAAAATGGTGAGTTTTCCCCAAACCCTTTCCACTGCTGGTTATGATCTCTTTAAACTTTGCCAAGGTGTTAGGTGAAAAGTGATGATTTGTTTTTATTTGAAATTCTTTGAATATTACTGAGATGAAACATCATCATCATATTTACCGGTCATTTGTGTTTTATCTCTTGTGAAATGCATGTTTAATATCCTTTGCCCAGTTTTCTCTTTGGGTGTTTCTTTTTTTCTTAATGATTTGCAAAAGCTCTTGATACAGGAATATTAGGGATATTAACCCAATTGTATATATTACAAATATATTTTCCCATAATTGCATTTATGGTCAACCCTGAATCTTACAAATTGTTATATTTAAGCTAGGTATATTTCAGCTCTGCAAAATAAAGTTACCTCATAGGCTGCAGAGAAATGGAAATCAGTTCCTGAATGTCTTGTAGACACAGTAACAAAATCTGTGGCCAATAGTTATACCTCTCCAAGACATGCCATCTTAGGACTCCTAGAAGTACGGTGCCAGGTGTGGTTGCTGTTAGGTGCCATTGAGTCACTTCAACTCATAGCTACCCTGTGTACAACAGAACGAAACACTGTGGATTCGTAGCTACTCTACGTACAACAGAATGAAACACTGCAGACTCATAGCTACCCTACGTACAACAGAATGAAACACTGCTAGGTAAAGAACAGCAATCCGGGATAACTACAGTCCTTTCCCATATTCCCAGCCAACTGCGCTGGCCCTGAATAGGGTTCTGGCAGACAGATTCAGTTGTTTATCTTTCACTGGAATCAGAGAGATAAGGAAATTGTGCTCTCAAAAGTATTCATTAAAATGGAAACTTTCTCTGTCAGGGGTCAACATGAAATAATTACTGTATTTAGAAGGCAAACATATCCAGCTTCTAATCTTGTAAAGATTTAAACATCTGTGTGAAAGGAAAAAGACTAGAAATATCTGAATTAGAATATCATCTTTAAAGGGAATGATATATGCCGAGAAGGAAAGGACAAAAAGTCTCTAAATGCCTAGGTGAGAACCCTGTCCTTTCATCAGTGCTTCCCCGGGCCAAGGCAAGGCTCCTGTGACCTACCTTGATGAAGGAGTACAGAGACTTTCCATAGAGCCTCTTGAAATTGGCCCGGATGTCCAGCATATCAATCTCTGCTCGAGAAACCATCACTCTGATAAGGGTGTCATCATCGGTGCCCAAGCCCTAAGGAAAAAAACAAGATCCTCACATATCAAAGCCTGACTGGTTTTCAGATGGTAGTTTTCTTTCATCTGTCAAGGCAAGACTCTGTATGACTCTCCTGACAATGTCCTTTGTCTGCTCCACCACCTTGGAGGCCAGTGGAACACAGTATTTGAGGCTCTCCACAATTTACCTTTCTAATACTCTATGTTCTGACCAGAGGAGACTGCTCTCTGTCATTCTAGAAACACAGTCTGTGCTGTCCAGCCTGACTGCCTCACTCATGTTCCTGGTGAAAGTTTGTGCAGCAAAATAGGCTCCCATTTGACAATTTCTACATAAATTGTTCAGTGACATTAGTTATATTTTTCACCATGTGTCAACTTTCTCTTTCATTGTGTTCTGGTTGTTTGGTTTTCAAATATACCAACCTCTTAATATGTCTTTTCTGATCCTCCCCATGAAGCAAACAAATATTGAAGGAAAAAAAGCTGTCTCCACTGTGTTCCTATAATATTTCGATCCTCATTTACTGTCTTACATTCTATTTTGTTACTAGTGTTCTGCACATACCTGCCTCCCTACAAGGCTGGAAGTTCTTTGAGGTAAGGGACTACATTTTGATCTTTCCTATATCTCCCATTGGGAGTGGTTAAGAGCTACGGATGCTAACCAAAAGGCTGGCAGTTCAAACCCACCAGCCACTCTTTGGAAACCCTATGGGGCAGTTCTACTCTGTCCTATAGGGTTGCTATGAGTCGGAATTGACTCAATGGCAACGGGTGTGGGTTTTTTTGGTATACCTTCCATGGTTCCCACCACAGTACAATGCTGGGTTAAGGAGTACGGATTCTGGAGCCAGACTGCCAAGGTTTGAATCCCTGCTCCATTACTTCCTCTCTGAGGACACTGGGAAAATTATATAGCCTTTCTATGCCACGGTTTCTTCATCTGTGAAATGGGAGATAATAATAATACCTGCCCCATAAGGCTGTTGTGGGCATAAAATTAATCTATATACATATAAAGCATTATGAACAGTGACGTGTTCTTGGGACCATGCTTTCAGGGGAACTCTAGGTCAATTGGCATAACAAAGTTTATTAAGAAATTGTTCTGCATCCTACTTTGGTGAGTGGCGTCTGGGGTCTTAAAAGCTAGTGAGCAGCCATCTAAGATACATCAATTGGTCCCAACCTACCTGGTGTAAAGGAGAATGAAGAACACCAAAGTCACAAGGAAAGTATTAGCCCAAGAGACAGAAACGACCACATAAACCAGAGACTGCATCAGCCTGAGACCAGAAGAACTAGATGGTGCCTGGCTACCACCAGTGACCGCCCTGACAGGGAACGCAACAGAGACTCCCTGATGGAGCAGGAGAAAAGTGTGTGTGTGTGGGGGGGGGGGGGGGTGCAGAACTCAAATTCTAGTAAAAGGGCCAGACTTAATGATCTGACTGAGACTGGAGGAACCCCAGAAAGCATGATCCCCAGACTCTTTGTCAACCTAGCACTAAAACCATTCCCGAGGCCAGCTCTTCAGACAAATATTAGAGTGGACTATGGGACATAAAATGGTACTTATGAAGCGTGTGCTTCTTAGCTCAAGTAGATATATGAGACTAAATGGGCAGCTCCTGTCTGGAGACGAGATGAGAAGGCAGAGAGGGTCAGGAGCTGGTTGAATGGACATGGGAAATCAGGGGTGGAAAGGAGGAATGTGCTGTCACAGTATGGGGAGAACAATTAGGGTCACATAACAACGTGTGTATACATTTTTGTATGAGACATTAATTCAAATTGTAAACTTTCGCTTTAAGTACAACAATTAAAAAAAAGAACAGTAACCTGAATACCATAAGTACTCAATAAATATCGCCTAGTTTTATTATTGCAGGCACTCAGTATTTGATGAACTGAATAACTCAGGCTGAAGCTGGAGGACAGAGAAGACTAAGTAAGCAACTGAAGATGGACACAAGACGTGCCACAGTCACACAGATGCTAGACGTCAGGCCATTTACCTTCATAGACTTATAAAGCCTTTCAGCAAAATATGCAGGTTTGTTCCTCATGCACTTGACTGTCAAGAGAAAAAAACAAAAGATTACAGATAAAACCTAGAGAAAAGGCAAGTCACGGTTGTTGCCTCTGTTTGTATCAGGAATCAAGTAATATCTCTTGATTACTTTGCTGGAGAAATTTTCGCCAATGTTTCATGAACATAGGCTATACTGAAGGCATTTTCACAGATGGAAAGTACCCTCAATTTATCATGAAGTTCCTGGAGAAGTGATTAATAATGACAAAGAAATAAAGCAAAGGGAAGCATACAGTTTCAAAATGATGATTACTATCTCTACCATGTGAGATAGTTCTTAGTTCTAACCATTTACAGAGTTGCAAGATATAGCTATTATAGGATTATCTTTCCTATACACTGAAACATAAAGGCATGTTGGATATAAAATATAAAAAGCCAAGTAGTACCACAGCAATCAGGTTATATATAATATTTCTTGTTTAAAATACTGGAGTACATCATGAGTGATTTAAACAATTTTCATCCCTGAAAAAAAAAAAAAAATCTACCTCCCCATGACAACAAACTGATAACAACAAATAAAATCCCTACACATTTGTTCCTCTACTCCCCATGCCCTGCCAGCTTACCTATAGCCAGCAAAGCATCTTCAAAGCTACCAGATGTTTCAGATTTAATACTCTGTTCAATGTCCTTCTGTGATATCCTTTTGTATTCATCAAACACTACAAACAATAACAAAATGGCATTATAAACAATAAAGAAGAATAGAGGAAGATAAAATCTATGGAGAGAGTGAGCATCTTTTAACTAGACTATACTACTTATTCATTGGCATATTTTAGGAGGAAACTAATTAGGAATGTGGGTGGGAACCCAGGAGGGCTATGGAGCAGTGGAAGAAGGAACATTGATCTTGTGAATCTTGGAGGGCATCAAGCAAGTCCCTTCCCTTATCTGAGATCTTGTTTTCCACACAAAAAAATGGAGATGACCTCTGGAGAGATTTGCTTTCTTTTTCTCATTGTTTCGTTAATAAGCAGAATGTATCTTTCTGTAAGTCTGGCCTTGGCAATCACCCGTATGTTCATCTTCCTTTTGGCTCATCAAAACTAGAGCAATTCAACCTCTCCAAAACTGAGTCACATTTGACAACAGCTGGTTGCATCTTTTAATAGACTTTAACATAATTAATTTTTTTTTTTTTTGTTTCCTTGCCAAGTACTTTTGAATGTGATGAATATGTTTTCCTTTCTTGCTGCCTCCTTCTGGAGCCTTCTTGGAGTGGACATCTTGTTTTGTTTATGTTAACACTGCCATTTTTGGGGTGCTGTCTTGACTCTCCATCAGTGGCATTCTCACAGGGCTGTCAGTCA